AACAGAGCTTATCAACCTAATGTCTCAAGCTTGCCATTGATTAAACAGCCTGGGTATTTTTATACAGGGTTTCATTACTGTATTCCAATAGAATTAATGTTAAGCACTAAGATATTTTACTTGATCAACTGTGGTCTCGAACTTTAATTGCAGTGTTAAAATGTAGAGAGTTGCAGTTAATTTTATCAAAAGAACCATGCTCAATGTTTTGTGCCATTATGTAACACATCTCTCTTTACATTTGTTATGACAAATGTAGAGAAATAATTTCTCAATCTATATATATAATATCTGCTCAATTGTTTATCAATAAATTTAACAGCAGCGCTTTGAGATCTTGAGTTGTGCACATTAATCTAAACCCTAGCCAACCAAGATTCTCTTGTGGGTGATCTGAGAAATTAATAAGATCACACCTTGTTTCAAAAAATATTTAATAAACAAAAAAGTTATAAATTGAAATCCATTAATATACCTTAAAACACACATAACATTGTTAAAATTTAAACAGCTTTAACCGTATGTAGAAGCAAAGATGAACAAGTACAGAACAATGTGTTAATTACTATCCTAATATTTCAGCTCACTCAAAATTAAGCAGCGAGCTAGATCCTTAATCTACTAAATACCAAATTTTAATCGCCTTAAAGCCAGTTTTGCTGCTGACTTCTTGGCCTGCGTCTTATTGACCCCAAATCCATCAAAATGCAGATCTCCTTCAGTCGACCTTACAGTTAAAACTACATGCACCTGCTCCATTTGCATCTCCTTTGTTGATTCTGAGACTCTGAAAAAATAAATGAGCATTCAGCTTCCTTAACTTCAGATGCAGCATACAACAATGATTTGAATTAAGCAATCCTAGTAAGTGATGTTTTTTGTAAACAAAAGAGAAGTGTTACATGTTGTTGGAACACACGACTAAATACATTGTCTCCACACGCCTCTAGTCATGTGTTGCAAAATCATCTAGTGCCTCCCAGTTGCTTACAACATTCTATCGATTAGGGATTTTCTTTTACCATTTCCATGGAAGTAGCCTTACCTAAAAATCATATATTGCTCTCCAACACGTTCATACAGCTGTCTGACCACCTGCTTGGGAACTTCCTTGCTAAAGGCACCTGAACATAAACAATAGAAAATTTAGTGAATAACAGAAAATTATGTAATAAACTGTTGACACAGTATTTCTTAAGAAACTTACTGATTTCATTTTTCATAAGTCTATAAATGACCTTCCAAACTACAGAAAGGTTACGGCCACAATCAAGAAATACTGCTCCAATTAGAGCCTCAAACACATCACCTAAGGCTTTAGGGACATTAACAGTTTCTGCCAATCTGGTCTCATGCTCCTCTAGTAAAATAAGCACCTAAATCCATGAAATGTAGATTAGTGTATTCAAAATAGACCTAAAATCAGAATTCTAGTTAACAGTGGAATACTTACCTCCTCATCAATGACATGTTCTCGATCTTCTTGAAAACTGACAAATCTATCAATGGCACTCATGAGTGCTATAGAACCAGCATTAAGAAATTTGTAAAATCCATAACGGACGGATAAACAAGCAAATGTTATATTGTTAACTAGAGCTGACCGCAAATCAGTTAGTTCACCAGGAGTAAGTCTTCCACAGTTTTCATAAATGAATGCAGTGATAAGAAAATCTGGAAACCCAAACATCATGCAAAATCTAAGGTAAAATAAACAATCATTTTGAAGGAATTTTAATTTACCTCAACACTCACCTAAAACTGCGTCACCTACAAATTCCAACCGCTCATATGTTCGAAATGGTGAGGTGCTGGAAGCATGTGTTATTGCTTCATTAAGAAGATTGATGTCTTTGAATTTATAGCCCAAGCGTTGATGCATCTTTTGGGCTACATCATTAATGCTAAAATGCATTTGAGGATGTGAGGAAATATCATGAGTCTGTATTTTTAGTAGGGCTCCAGTACCATGAGGCAGCACTCTCATCCACTCCAAAAACGACATAGCAGCTATGGGTCCAGTTGTCTGCAAGAACATAATTCCGTTAAAAAGAGCAATTTTACATTGGTGTTGTACCTAATGCGAAATAACAGTTGAATCAACATCGAAACGATGTTGAAATGGTGGAATCGACGTCGAAACGATATAGATTCAATATAAATTTCTCACTAGGTATAGCCTACATACTGTTACAATACAGTGAAAAGGTTTGAAACTTATTTCAAAATACCTCCAAGAATGCTCCTAATAATGACTCAACAGAGTCTGCTACAGTTTTATCAGAAATTTTTGACATTTTCTTATTTGGAGTCTGGTCTGAAGTGGAAACTGCAATTACACTTGACGAAACTTTTCTTTTGAGTTCACTCAAAGTAGAATCTTTCACAACATTGTTATACTGCTCATCTCTTGACAGCAGAAGATGTTTTGCATGAGCAGTAAGGTTCTCTTGAAGAATTATTTCAGGAACAGCAAATGAGGGTGGAATCCATCCTTCAGAAGGAACCATTTTGTCAACCTATACAGAACCAAAATACATAGATTTTTGTAATGAGTAAAACATGATGTATCACAGTTGACTCATGAATATTATCAATTTATTTGAATGAAGGAGACTCAAGATGGGGTAGAAAAGGACAAGCGCTTGTGTATATTGGAGACTTCTTTTCAGTGTTACCTTCAGATATTGTGCAAGGTCCTTTGCTCTAGCACAGTAAAACAAATTGCGATTCCCAAGGATTTGGCCTTTTACTGTAGTCAATTTTCCCTCTGACAAATTAGGGAATCGGCAAAACAACATAAATGAAACAGCAAACTTTAAAAATGAATCTCCCAAAGTTTCTAGCCTTTCCAGATTCCAGAAGTCATCCGCTGAAGCTGCTGTTATTGCCTGAAGAAAATCATAAAAGTCAAATTTCTTTCCATAAACATCATATCATACGAAACTGATGATGAGTGGTACTTGTAGGAACAATATACCAACATATAATAATTACTTCTAATATGGTGCAAGCATGAGGACTATTTTTCCTTTCACAAAGTAATGTTATTACACCCTCTCCAGAATGCAGTGTAGGCAGGGTCATCAGTGGCCGTTGATTTCTTGTCTGTTGGAAAGAGAGATAGACATGCAAATTTGATAGTGTACACCAGGAAAAAGAATCAATGAGTATAGTAAGTCACATATATATGCTAAAACTCACTATAAACGGAGAATTGGTTGAAGAAGTTTTTCTTTTAGAAAATTCACCATATTTTTCAATGTCTTTAAAAGTGACTGTATCAAAATTGTGTTCAATATCCACAGGCTCGTCATCACCCCAAGGCTTTACAGAAATTTTTCTTTTCTTTACAGGAGAAGTAGTCACTCTTAGTACATGTGAAATGTCATTTGTAACCCTTTTAACATCTTCATTTGGCAAATTTAAAATGTGTGCTGTTTTCCACAACATGCAGCTGTTACCTACAAGTAATGATGATTTGTTTTTGTTATAATATGGTGAAAGCAAGCTTCAGAAATTTTACAGCATTAATGTTCAAAAATTTTTATACTAACCACAGTTAGAATCCTCCCCAATTGTAAGGGCAACAGGTATAATTTCCCGCAGCTCATCAGCTACCAACAAGCGTTCTAGCCGGTGGAGAATTGATGGCAGTAAAACAGCTTTTAGAAACAATGATCCATCAGAAATCTTTATCTCACAGGTCTCTATGGGGAAATGAATTGCATCACTTGAATCACTTTCAGCTTTCCCATACCTGAGAGCAAAAGTAAAAATATTTAAGAATCAATCTGAATAGAGCTATTACATTCAACACACTGCAGCAGAAGTACCTGGGAATGAGGTCATTAGAAATTAGTTTCAATGGTTGAACCTCAAGTAGGGGTAGGGTGGGTTGACATACTTTGAAATTATGCTTCTTTTTAAAGTACTCTTCGTATGTTGAATATAAGGGGCTAGGAAATTTACTAACACTTGTAAGTTCACGGCAAACACGGGTCACAAAGTATACCTAATACAGAGATGAGATTAAATCATAAACCATTCATAATTGCTGATAAATTGAGATTAGATAGTAATATGAAGGGGACCCTTTCAGAAAAGACCATAGAATTCTAGATTGTGATCAGCTTTATATTACCTCATGGAGAACTGATACTCCACGGTGGACAGGTGTGACAATGCACTTTTCCATATTTCCCAATGTATCTTTAGTTTCCATTGCGATCTGCATTGCATCCCAATCCAAACACACAAGTCCCCTATTGTCTAAATTTGTTTTAGAAAAAAAAAAAAAGGAACAACAAGTGTTACAACAGTAATCTTAATACACACTCAGCAAATATGATAGAAAAACCAAAGATTTACCAATTTTGGTTGGTGCAATCAGAAAAGAATCTTTTGCAAAACCTAGGTAACTTTTTGCCAATGGAATCATGGAAGTAAACAGATTAAAATGATAATTGGCAATGATGAATAATTGTCTTTTATCAAGATTGATGCACTTTACTGCACTCTTCAACCTCACATTCATAGCTCCAAATTTAGAAAATACCGGAAACTGGCAAACCTGAAAAATGAAAAACATCAAAATAGGTAAATAGGGGGGAAAATGGGAATCTGAAAGAAAGAATTCATAGTGGTAATCAAATAATTATACCTGATTCATAGGTTTTGATGATATTATTGCAAAATTTCTCTGTTCTTTCAGTGTCAAATAAATTGCTAGTTTTCTGTTATCCGATGTAGGTGCATCAAAAGCAGGATAAATTTCTATGTGATGCACATAAACTTTTCCATTTTCACATGGTTTACAATCTTCAAAGGAGGCTGGTGTCTATCATTCATAAACAATACAACATATAGAATACCAAAATCAGTTTGATTTAAATTAGACCAGACAATATATTAAGGAGGCAAGGAGAATGTGCAAACCTTCAATTGGTAAGGCCGAGTTCTTTTATTGGTACCAGACTTGGCCTCTGATCCCTGTTCTTCTGATTCCCAGAGCGGAAGCAAATCGTTCATGTCACTCTCTTCCAAATATTTTGTGTTGGGTAGCAAATTATCATTCAATTCCCCAACTTGATGCAAAGTTTTACACATTTCTAGAGCAGCAGCTCTTTTTGCAACTTTCAGATTGGCCATTGGTAAACCCTTTAAAGTAAATGAATCAAAAGAAGATAAATAGATTGTTAAGTATTTAGGAATGCAAGTATCCATATGTTAACATGGTCAATTCTAATTAAATATGAAGTACAATGTTTTACTCACCTTCACAACATCTTGCATTGGAGAAAATTTAGGTAATTGAAGGGCAACCTGGATTTTAGAACCAATTTTTTTCTTATGCCAGTAAGGTGGTATTCGGCAGAAACGATCATGAGCAAAGGATGAGCAGTAACTGAAACAATGGGTTTGAGAATTCATTGGAATTCAGTACACAGAAAGGGAATTAGAAAAAATACAGACTATTTAATAAAAGGTGTGAGGAGCAATAATTTACTTGGTCACAAGAGAAATTGAAGAAGTCATTGTTACTTTTGAACCCAAAGGTGTATAATAAGGCTCAATCTCAGATTCATACAAATCATCCAACTCTCTTTCAGATGGAGCTGCTCTGGTATCTGTGTGTCCTACTAGTAGCTATACATAGGAGGAACATTCAAAGTAAATTTAAGGCTCTGTATTTCAGCAACATCAATGTATCACTCAATACTTACTTCTTCAAGGCGAGAGTATATCTCTTTAAAGCTATTAATTTTTCCACTGTATCGACTCAACTCTTCAATGCTCGACATGAGGCAGAACAGGCTTGAGTCATGTCTGGCTCTGCCTTTACTTTGAACATAGGATCGGAAGTGTTTAGCTAAGTCAAATCTCACAACTAAGTTGCAAGCTGGTATATCAATGCCCTCTTCTAGAACATCAGTACACACTAAAATGTTTATCTCATGCTCCCGAAAGCTGCAAAAAGAGAAACAATTCAAACTATCCACCAGATGTTACGATCATCTGAAATAAAACATTACCTACCGATCTACAATTTTATCATTGATGTGCTTATTGAATGCACCTTCCCAAGTTTCGGTGAAAGGATTGTAAGTTCCTCCAACTATGAAACCTGCTTTTATAAAGGAATATCTTGCACTTTTTTCTGCAATATTCTGAAACAAAACAAAATTAAAATAAAATTATTGTTATAAAATTAAAATATATTGAAGAGGAATAATTCTTACCTTTAGTACACTGCACAATACTTTTGCTGTCATTTTTTCTTCAACAAAAACTAGTGCTTGCATCTGTTCTGGCCCATTCTTGCACTTTTCGTACTGTCTCTCAAGCACCTCAACAAGGGCCTTAACTTTCGGAGAGGAGAACTGATAAGCTTTCACATTTTCAGGGTGATCATAGTTCTCCATGTGAGATTCCAAAAAGCGACTGTAAATTCATATGCAATCCACATTTGCCAAAAACACAGCAAGGTTACATAAAATTTCCAAAAGTTGCAACAATAATACATTTTGCTGCCCATGCACTTACCTAAGAGAAATCAGACAGCAAATAATTGAGTTGATCATAATGATGCTGTCTTTGTCTTCCATTTTTTGTTGTTGTAGTCTTAGTGTGACATAAATAGCTTGGAGGGTTTTAGAACATCCGTATGGCCCAAGCCAGCCAAGTTGTTTCTGTGTACAGAATTTTTAAAGTACTGATTTGGAGTTATTATAAAACTTTCCAAGACAAGTTATGACCTATATAACTCACTGAAATTTGTCTCCAAAGATTTGGTATATCATTGCCCTTTTTCGTAAAGAATGGGACAAATCCCGCCAGTTGTTTTGGAGGACCAGTATCTTGGGTCACAAATTGAAAGTTCTTACAAATTTCATGAACTTCATTGACTTTATCATCTATAAAATTTGTCAAAACGAGGTCTGAATGTGTCTGAAATGGTTTAAACATCTCTTGAGGACTTGTGGAAAATCTGCAATTTTGGAAAACATGAAAGCATATTGCTAATATAAAAAAAATTAAATCTTGCCAATGTTACTGAAAGTGTTAAAACTAACTGCTTTACTAGTTCCCATGAGTTTACTGTCGCAACAGTGCTATGCAAGGTAACTTCCAATTTTTTCACATCCTCCGGCACCCTTGCAAGACTTTTTGGTGTGGCGTTCAACAGAGTTGCTGTTAATCCAATAACCTTTGGCTGATCTGCTAAAGGACAGTCTTCAAATAGCTTCATTATCTAGAAAATAGGAAACAATATAGCACACAATGCAAACTTGAGTAGGTTTTCACTGACGCATAAAAACAAAAGAAAACTTCAAAAGTTGAATTACAAACAAATAATGCTGGCTCACATAATCCTTACTTGTCTCATCGGATGGTCCTCTACAGCATGATGACATTCATCAAGAATAATTAATGCAATATTAGCCAAACTTATATATTTCTTTAATAGGAGTTGATTCAAAATCTCAGCAGTCATGACCATGACCTAAGAACGAATAAAAATAAAAATTAACAGTAGAAAATAAGTTTTGAGATCATATACTAGCCAATCAACCGAGAATTATTGTGAGCCTGCTCACCTGAAATTTACAAAATTCCTCGTTCCATATACTCATATTCCACATATCTAAATTCATGTCCCCAGAATATCGGCCAACTTTATCCAGTAACAAATGCCTCTCTAAAACTTTAGCTTGTTGGTCAACAAGTGCAACAGTATTTACCAAAAACATTGCTCTCTTACCACCGGAAAAATAGTCCCTGTTGTAAGAAAACAATAGTAACTAAAGTATTTTAAACATCCAAGTTTTTAATTAAAATGAAATGCAAAAATGCATGTAAGAGAATGAGCATGATTTCAAGGTGTTCCCACAATGTCAGGTCATTCATCACATATTCCGCCAATTTCATTCTGCGTTTTGATTTTTGCTACGTGAATTATAGCCAATGACAGTATAATACTAACAGTATTCATAAAGAGAAAGGCAAAATAGTGAACAGAATAAGGGTGAAGAGGGTGACATGACGTGTGGGGGCTGTCATTGACGGAGCACCTTCAAACTTACGGTTCCAACAAATGAAATATTTTCTTTAAAACCATAATTGAAATAAATGTCTTTCCACTGCCCGTGGGGAGGAAAAGTATACTGTTTTGTTGCATAGCTTGCTCAGCTAATACAGATTGGTACTGACGCTCCACAAAATCATCCATTATGCACTTTCAGCTGAAAAATAATTAACATTGTTAGTGCATTTGAATAAAAGTTTAACGGACTTTATGGTTTGACAGGTACATTTAATCATATTAGAGTAGAGGACTTGTAAATAGCACTGGGTTATAATAATTATAAGGTAATTGGATAAAATTATAGACTTCCAATTTAATAATAAAAGGAAACAGGTAATGTTACTTTTGCAAAGTAGTTACTTGAGCCTAGAGCCTAAGGCATAGCTGATGCAACCCTGTTCCAAGTTCAACAAGTGCAACAACTACAACCACAACTACAACCAAACAATTTAAAAGTAACATGAGAAAATAAAAAATTAACACCTCTCTTCGTTGATAACACAAAACACGGTCGATGTGAAGTTTTTCGTTGAAACCTTTGGATGTCGCGTCCCAACTGAGATGGAGACCGGGCGGGGAATAACCCGAAGCGAGTAACCTCTGCCGACAACACAACAAACAAACACGTCACAACACGTCTTTACTGCAAATAACGGCCGCCGCCCCCCCTCCCCCTCCTCTTCCACACCTGCTTTTATAAAGGAATATCTTGCACTTTTTTCTGCAATATTCTGAAACAAAACAAAATTAAAATAAAATTATTGTTATAAAATTAAAATAT